AAAGCTGGTAGGGCTACATATGAAAGAATGGGTCTGCATGGTCAGTGTGCACATTATAAAAAAATCCTGCAGCATGCAGTGCATAATGAGAAAAGTGTTATAGGATAAAAAAATTTAGGGTCAGTACTTACCGAGATATGAGGCAGCAAAGTTGGCACTTGGCGATCACCTGACGGCAGCATGGAGCGCTGCCGCTTGCAGAAATTCTACATATTTACCCTTTTTTTTTTTTAAATTTTCTTGGTTTTCATGATATGATATTTATGTTTTACAGTAAATCTTTTGATTTCAATGCCATTTGTTGTTTATACACCAATATTATATACGAAATTGTCATATTTTCATTAACACACATGTACACACTGACAGGTGATTTTGCACACCTGGCTGAATCGCATTCTATTGTTTACAACTATATACGTACAAGTATTTGTATGTCCCACTTATGTTTCTAGAATTCCACGATTGTATGATACTCCATGAAGAATGGATTCATACAGAGTCCCACCCCACACTGGTAACACATGAATCATGTGTCCTCCCATTGTTGGGGTTGTTTTGTGGTGGTAGCACACACAACACACTTTTTCTGGGAATTCTTCTTCTTTGGGGTAGGTGGTATTGGTACCAGATAGTGACAGTTAGGGATGATTCGGTCTGGCACTTCCCCCACTGGCTGTGGTTGTGGGACAAGTCGCTGTTGAGGGGCAGGTACAGGTGTGGTACCATACTTTCTTGCTATCTGTTTTACAACATTCAGGGAGAATTCTGCAAAACATTGTCATTTTCCAATCTTTATTTCGTACATACTGAATGCATTGAGCACTGCAATGTCTACGAAGTGAAAAAACAGTTTTAGATACCACTTGCGACTCCTACGTACACAGTCAACGAACCCTATCATCATGTCACACTTGTCAACTAGTTGCATATTGTTCATATAGTCCATGACAGCAGCTGGCTGCTGTCATGGTCACTTTGTTTGTACCATCTCATTTCTGTGGATGGTTGACAGCAATGTCACATTCCATTTGTCATGCCACGCCAGTGCCATGATGTCATTAGCATGAAACACTTGCACTGTACCTTCAACACAGCCTCCACTGAACCTTGGCATATGTTTTCTGTTCCTTCTTGCTGTTCCACATACAGTGGACCCTCGGGTAACGATTTTAATCCGTTCCAGAGAGCTTGCCCTTAACCGATTTTATCGTCAGCCAAATTAATTTTCCCCACAAGAAATAATGAAAATCCAATTAATCCATTCCAGACACCCAAAAGTATTAAAAAAAAAATTTTTTTTTACATGAAACATACATTTTCCTACACAGAAAACAATGAGACATGAAGAATAAATACATGAAGAATAAATGACACTTACCTTTATTGAAGATTTATTGATGAGTGATGAGATGGGAGGAGGGGAGATGATGGAGGTATATTATTGTTTGGAAGGGAAATCCCCTTCCATAAGGACTTTAGGTAGCAAGTCCTTTTCCTTGACAACACTGTTTTTCTTGAACACTCTGGGAGTTTGAGTGATACATGAGTAAAGGCTTCACTTTGCAATCACCACTGGCATTACTACAAAACATGAGAGTTAGCCTGTCTTTCATAGGCTTGTGTCCTGGGAGTGCCTTTTCCTCCTGAGTAATGTAGGTCCTGTTTGGCATTTTCTTCCAAAACAGGCATGTTTTGTCACAATTGAACACTTGTTGGGGTTTTAATTTTTCAGCCTCTATGTACCCCTTAAAGTCCTGCACATATTTTTCAGCTGCTTTTTGGTCAGAACTGGCAGCCTCATAATGCCTTATCACACTGTGTATGCCACTACGATTCTTAAATCTCTCAAACCAGCCTTTGCTGGCCTTAAATTCACTAACATCAGCACTAGTTGCAGGCATTTTCTTAATGAGATCCACATGCAACTTCCTTGCCTTTTCACATATGATTGACTGTGAAACACTATCTTCTGATAATCGTTTGGCGTTGATCCACACCAATAACAGTCTCTCCACATCTTCGAGTATTTGCTATCTCTATTTTGTAAGCATACTTTCACCTTTCGCAACAACAGCTTCCTTGATTGCCTTTCTGTTGGCCAAGATAGTAGCGTTGGTTGATTGGGGTTTGTTATACAACCGAACCAGCTCGGAGGCACGCACTCCACTTTCGTACTTTGTGATTATCTCTTTCTTCAGTTCGATAGTATTTCTCACTCTTTTTACCACAGGGTTGGCACTAGAAGATTTCTTTGGGCCATGGTGGCTTATTTAGCAGTTACAGGCACTAAAAGCAATGGAATAATACAAAATGTATTGCATGTATGAGTGGAACTGTCCACCCTGCCTTATAAACACTGGCACACTGGCTGTACATAGTGGCCAGGCAGCCGCGTTCAGGACGAATGTCCTTCACCGAGTTTTTCATCGTTGGCCAAGCCAATATTTTTACACAAAAACGCATGGGTATCCGATTTTATCGCTATCAGATGGCATTGTTACCTGAGGGTCCACTGTATTTCATGTTGTATAACCATTGAAAGGAATTTCTCAGCAAACATAAAACTAAATGTTTTAACCCGTAAACGGTCCAACCGTGTACATGTATATACGTTCACTACCCCAGTGCCCCGAATATTTTGAAATATTAAAAAAAATAATTTTTTTTAATGAAAATGAAGAAAAAAAAATATTAGGGTATTCCAGTAGAGTATAGCACTTTGTCTGGATTTTTGGGTTATCCTAGGTAATTTACACTATGTATACTACTTGTATTTATGTGTACCTGTGAGACAGAGATACAGACAGAATGAGATAGACAGAGACAGATAGAGAGAGACAAAGATAGAGACAGACAGAGATAGACATAGATACAGACAAACGGAGATAGAGCCAGGCCGCCAGCAGCCGGCCAGCCACGCAGCTGGTCAGCCAGATGGCCAGCCAGCCAGCCAGCCTGCTAGCCAGCCGGCCTGCTAGCCTGCCAGCCTACCTGCCTTGTTTCTCATTACTTAGGGCATAGGTTATAAGACATTCTGAAAGGGTGTTGCACAAATGTTGCACGTGGGGTTTTTATCAAAATTTTTTTTTTTATATTTCATTGACCACTTATGGCCACATCCACCTCAAGGCCACTAAACTCAGGGTCAAAATCACTTAACTCCTAAAATGGGAGAGTTAATACTACATGAAATCACTGAATCCCAGGTGTTTGCTGCGCTGTTTGCTCTAGCTGGTGCTCATTTGAACTGGTGCTCCCACAGGGTACTAAGTGGTCCCAGATTTTTTTAATACTGTGCACACTGAGTGTTAGGACCCATTCTGTGCTGACAAGGCATCTCAGGCCAATCGTGCCAAATTTGAAGGCAGGAAAAATAAAACGTATACAGTGGACCCCCGGTTTACGATCAGCTCCCAATGCGACCAATTATGTAAGTGTATTTATGTAAGTGCGTTTGTATGTGTATGTTTGGGGGTCTGAAATGGACTAATCTAATTCACAATGTTCCTTATGGGAACAAATTCGGTCAGTACTGGCACCTGAACATACATCTGGAATGAAATAATATCGTAAACCGGGGGGTCCACTGTATATACGTTTGGGGCACTAGCAGTAAAAAAGTATATATATACATTTGGACTGTTTACGGGTTAATTTTGGGTGGTAACACTTTTGAAGTGTCAGTAAGGGGCAATTCCTCGATTAGAGACGAATTCGTTTACCAGTGTGGTCTTAGGAATGGAACTCCGTCGGTAAGTGAAGAGAGGCTGTAATTTTTTTTTCTTTTTTTTTTTAAGCACAAAAATAGTTAATTATACTATAGAATGCACAGTGTAATAGTAAACTAAATGTGAAAAACCTTGAATAACACTGAGAAAATCTTGAACAACAGAGAAAACTAACATTGCTCGAGTCTGTTCTAGACCCCGACAAACCGTTAGCTGTACACAGTTTTCTTTTAAGAGTTTTAAACACGGAAAATAATCAAGAGTTTGAAAAATCCTTAATTATACAGAATAATGCACAGTTTAATAGAGAAAAACCTTAAATAACAGAGAAAAAAATAGCATAAACAACCAAGAAAACTAACCTTGCTTCTGGCATGAAGGAAGTAAGGAGGAAGATAAGTGGGGAGGAGGTTATACACAATACACAACTTTTCAATAATTTCCTTCTTCACTTCTGTTTCAATTTTCTTCAAACCCTTCTTATCATCCTCATTACCACTCTTGCTTAGAGGCCATGGTTAATTGCAAAATGAATTCAGAAACACAAAATACAACACAAGGAGTTCACAGTGAATGAACACACATCTAACTGAGACCAACTACAAGGTGAGGGTCTTTGTTAGGTGTACCCAAATAACAGAAAGTGGGGAAAATTGACACTTGTGAAAAAAATGATATGGAATGTGAAAATCAGTGTGGCTGTGTTTGTTCGGCACCTGATTATGTGTTCGTGACCAGATGCAAGAATTTGGTGAAATTTTTGGTTGTGAACCGATTTATTCATGTTCGGAAGTGTTCGTGACTAGAGGTTCCACTGTACAAGGTGAGAGATTTGTTTTTCCCATCATGCATTGCATGGGCAGGATTTTTTTAATAATGTTCACACCAGTAGCACAGACCCATTCTCTTATGTCCAGGCCAAAATTTACTGCTTACAGCATATTTGAACTTACAGCATATTTGTAAATCCACATGAGTGACACTGGCATCAGTAAGATGATCTGTGTGGGAGACAGTGAAAGGGTTAATCCTAATAACTCTGCTGTTTTTTCAAAATTTTGTATTGTTTCTTTCACTTCCTATTATTCCTGGCTCTTAATTCATTCCAGTAGACCTGATTCTTCTTCATTATAAGTATGAAATTTCTGGTTGTTTCAACATATGCATTTAACAGATTTGTTTTAAACTACTCATGGTTCACATGAATTTTTTTAAACCTCACTAACTACTTTTTCTTATAAAACTAATTGAACATTTCTTTTCATGCAGGGAGGGAAAGCCACCAGTGGGTCTGGTCAGGGTGGCACCAGCACCAACAACGCCTCCACTCAGAAACCTGACAACAGCAGCGGGGGAGGAGTAGAAGATACCAATCAGCAGCACGACAACGCCTCAAACAACGCTGCCACTAATAACACCCCAGTCCGTCACAACCACCACGACGCACCACCTCCATATTCAACACGGTCATCTGCCGCCGCCGCCGCTGCTGCTGCTGCTGCTCACCACCACCACCATAACCACCATCACCACCACCCTAACCAGCGCCATAGCTCACGAGGGCCTCGCCGCAACCGGATGAGTATGGGGCAAAAAGTCACAGGTAAGAATCATGTTGGTTATTCAGAAACAGAATTACTACAGAAAGTGGAACCATAACTGATATTACTGTACAGCATTCTTAGAAAATTTAAAAATGAAGAAAACCTAAATAAGATCTTTACTATTGCTGGGGTTGTATGATAGTAAGTTTATTCAGGTTTACACAAATAGTTACATAGATTATCATACATAGCAGCATATGTGTAGAGAACCTAGGATAACCCAAAAAAGCCAGACAGAGTGACTTATTTCCATTGGGGTCCTTTTAATACCTTATTATTATACTAGAAAGGAGATATACTAATATCTTATTATTGTACTATAAAGGAGATATACTAGGAATGAGGTAAACTGAGTTATTTATATTTACATGTGTGTTAGCTAAAAGAAATAAAAAATCATTCTCCTCTCTTTCTGTCGCTACATTCATAAGGCACTCTTCTTGAACTGGTTCATGCTATGACTGGCTTTGACATGTGCAGGCAGTCTGTTCCATTCCTTTATTGCTGTACAATGAAAAGTGTTTGAAGCCTGGCCACTGACTGTGGGTACTACAAGGTTGTGCTCTCTTTCCCTAGTATTATGATTGCTTAGGTTCTCAGTCTGGACACTGTTTATGAGCAATTTTATAAACTTGATTTAACTTCAGCTGTTTTACTCTGTCTTCAATATTCATCAATATTCAGTTGTTGTAATTTATCCTGCCCTATATGTTTTCTTGGACCCAGGTCCAGGATGAATCTTACCATTTTGTCATGGGTGATTTGCAGTCTATCTTTCTTTTTTTTTTATCGAGGCAGAGTACCATGAAGAGCAAGCATAGTCAACATGACATTGTATAAGGGATAGACATAAGGTCCTACGAGCCTCAGTAGGTAGACACTGTGCTTGTCTGTAGAGGAACTTCAGTCTGGCATTCGCTTTCTTTACTACACTGTTCCCTATCAGTTCTCCTGACATGCATGGGTCAAAGGGGATTCCCAGATATTTTACTGAAGAAACTGAAGTGATGGGTTCCCCATTACACTGGACATTAAAATTATTTACCCTTCTCAGTTTATGTTTCGTACCAAAGAGTATGGCTTCCATTTTCCCAAGGTGTAACAATAGTTTGTTGTCCACTAACCATGTGTTGCAGGACTCCAATTCTAGTGTTATTACATTAGCTATATCTTGTGGGTCTTTACCTGACACTAACAGAGCACTGTCATCCGCATATAGTTAGGAGTTTGCACTTGACACTAATGGGCATGTCGTTTACATAACACAGAAATAATAAGGGACCCACTACCTTTGGGAACTCCACATGCTATCATTAGGGGTTCTGATACTGTTTTATTGATTTTGGCAATTTGTTTCCTATTGCTAAGATAGGACTTAAACCAGTCTATGGAACCTGTGCCAATAGCTTGAAGTTTCTTACATAATATATTGTGGTTGACAGTATCGAAGGCCTTTTGCAAGTCTAAGGTTACCATTCCTATGAGGTTCCCTATCGACATTTCAGTTCTTGTGTAATCCATCAGATTAATTAGGGAAGTGTCGGTTGAATAAGATCTCCTAAAGCTTGATTGGTAACTATGAAGAATGTACTTGACAGTACACTGCCCTCTCTAGAATTTTGGATATTACACTGAATATACTAACAGGACTATACTTGCTGACATCAGACCTACTAGTGTTCTTGAAAATAGGAGTAACTTTGGCCTCCTTGAACCCTTCCAGTATAGTATTAGTGGTGATGGACAGATATATTATGTGAGCAATGGGGATTGGCAATTCAGAAGCACCGTCTTTTAGGAGCTTTGATGGTATTTTATCTGGGCCGGTACTCTTAGTTGGGTTTGACCTGCTAAGTCCTTTTTGCACGAAGTCATGAGATACACTTGCTAGTTGACAACTGTTTGGGGTTATACTCAAACATTAAATGAAAAAATATAATGAATAAAATAGTATAGAATTTGATATTGGCAAAGTTTTACCATTTACATACTTACGTCATATTATTGTTATATTTTGATAGCTGCTTCAAATGTGATAGGAATTGCACATAAAGGTTTCCTCTTGTTTTATGCGAGTTTACCTCTTGAAAATTTGCTGTTATATGGAAAAACTCTCGGAAATCATCAGAGGTTTATTAAAGGTATTGGTGATTCTGTATGTATTACGTGCATTTGTATGTGATTAGTGTGGTTCGCAAAATACATATGATTCTTGTTTATTATTTTTTTTATTAACACATCGGCCGTTTCCCAAGGCAGGGTGGCCCGAAAAAGAAAAACATTCATCATCACTCACTCCATCACTGTCTTGCCAGAGGCATGCTTACACTAAAGTTATAAAACTGCAACATTAACACTCCTCCTTCAGAGTGCCAGCACTGTACTTCCCATCTCCAGGAATCAAGTTCAGCCTGCCGGTTTCCCTGAATCCCTTCATAAATGTTACCCTGCTTACACTCCAACAGCACATCAAGTCTTAAAAACCATTTGTCTCCATTCGGTCCTATCTAACACGCTCACGCACACTTGCTGGAAGTCCAAGCCCCTTACACACATACCTCCTTTACCCCCTCCCTCCAACCTTTCCTAGGTTGACCCCTACCCTGCCTTCCCTCCACTATAGATTTATATACTCACGAAGTCATTCTATTTTGTTCTCTCCTCTCTACATTTCCAAACCATCTCGATAACCCCTCCTCAGCCCTCTGGATAATTTTATTAGCACACTGGCCGATTCCCACCAAGGCAGGGTGGCCTGAAAAAGAAAAACTTTCACCATCATTTATCGTAGGGGTTCTTAAATGGAGATATCGTGGGTTGAAGGTAGACACACTTGTTGGATGGTAACGATATATTGTCAGACTGTGATGATGGGAAATGGAGCCCAGCCTCTGCCTGTCCTAGCCTATGTCAAACACCGACTGAGGGGGAGGCAGAGGTACGAACGTACACATGCGCATCCCGTGACATCACACAAACAGTCACAGGCCTAGGGATCTCCTATCTAAAGCACATGGATGATACTGATATGCTATACAACACAGGGATCAGCAACTATGCTGACAGCTCGGTCATGTTAGTATGTCGTCTCGACTTTTACACTACTATCTATAGGCTGAACAGGCAGGTGGTTCTGGGCTGATTCTATACAATAACAAATTCATATATAACTTAGAATTAATGGATGGTATCATAATAGATGTTAACAAAATGAGTTTTACATAATGGGTGTTAACGTAATCACTTTTAACGTAATGCATTACAAACTATAAGATCAAATCATTGTACAATATGAATGGAATTGATTGATCGATCTGTATTCATGCACTCTACGGATTCTGAGGAAGAATAAATACAGTGGACCCCCGGTTAACGATATTTTTTCATTCCAGAAGTATGTTCAGGTGCCAGTACTGACCGAATTTGTTCCCATAAGGAATATTGAGAAGTAGATTAGTCCATTTCAGACCCCCAAACATACACATACAAAAGCACTTACATAAATACACTTACATAATTGGTCGCATTGGGAGGTGATCGTTATGCGGGGGTCCACTGTATATATATACAAGGTGAAATTAACAGCAAAGGCATCTGGTGCGCACTCAGATCATTACTGTCAAATTCTCAGAATACGGAGGGAATACGAAAAAAAAAAATTCTGAAAAACTAATCAGTTAATAACAAACAGTTGACAATTTACTTCATCTCGGACATCTAGTTATACAGACTATGTACATTTAAACCCAATTCTGCAAGGGTGAGGTTTACATATGCAGAATGGTTATCATCTCTGGGAGGATCAAATTCCTCTGCAATGGCTAACACATGCCTTGACTGAGGGAGACTTGAACAAGTATCTACAAAAGATACTTGTGGGTTTCTCATTACTTGTTGAGTACGCAAGGAGTAACGACATTCAGGTTGATTATCTGACTGAGTATCTGAGGTAGAGGGTACAGAAATCAAGAGGATTTTCAGCATCTGTCACATTAGTCTGGGTAGCAATATCACCAACATCGCATACTAATTTCATATGATATAAATGCGATTCTTTGTGCTTACCAGTACTAATTTCTCTAACCTTATACTTATTACCAGAGATATGTTCTACAACTCGATAAGGTCCAACAAACTTTTGATCGAGCTTAGGCAATGCGGATGTTTTGTTGAAATTTGCCAGCATTACTCTCGAACCTACTTTGGCTTTTGACGGCTTAGCACGGCTATTAGTTACTCTAGTAAATTCTGCTGTTGATTTATGAAGTGTTTCACAGATTCTTATAAAAACACTTTGAGCCATGCTGGTACGAGTTGCTACGAAATCATCAGGGTTGTAATTAGGTTTCAGAGTGGAATATAACAACTCATAGGGTAAACGCTTGTCTACACCATACAATGCATAATGTGGAGTATCACCTATGGAAGCATTGTAAGCAGAATTTATGACACATTAAACATCTGGTATGACTTATCCCAAGTTTCACTTTTGGGGGTTTGATAGTGGCTCTCAGGACATCAAGTACTTTCCTATTGGTTCGTTCGGCTAACCCATTGCGGGCAGGATGATGAGGAACAATGGTGGATTTGAGATCTTGTACAAGTACACAAATTTTCAAGAATCTCATTACAGAATTCACCTCCATTATCTGTTACTAAGGACTTAGGGGGGGTATGCCTGCAGATAATGCGTTCTTTAAAGCTTAGCTACTGTCTCTGCAGTCTTATCTGCAATAGGAACTAACTCACAATATCTGGTGAAATGGTCTACCATAACACACAGATCTTTGTTGCCTTGGAGGGAACTTTTTAAAATTGGTTAACAAGTCAAGGGCAACTCTTTCCCAGGGGTTCGCTAGTGGTTGGGTACACTTGGATTGGATTAGGACCATTGACATTCCCTTTATGTTGCATACAGACACTACATTTTCTTAACATACTGGGAAATGTCAGTTCCCATACGTGGCCAAAAGTATTTCATTCTGGCTTGTTTCACAGA